GCTTCAGTCAAGTTTTCCAAAATCCCTTAGTACGCAGAAAAGAGGAAGGTATTCTGATACCTAATACCTCTGTACTTAATGCTGCTGAAATTTGCTGTAAGGCCATGCAGAATAGGAGGTAAAGAAACCTGTTTTCATAAAAATTAGATTCAACACACCATAGCTGTTAAGCTGTAATACCTTTAAATATTCATACACTTACATTTTCCAAAGACCTGAAGGCTGAACTCTGCCATTGGTAGCATTTCCCAGCCCAATAAATGCTTAGGAAAGCAGTCAGTGGTTCCAGATTCTGATGTGACCAATACTCGGGGAAAAGCTGGAACTGACAGTATTAAATACGAAATGAAAAGCAGTACAGAAGTGCCCCATTGTATTAAATGCCTTTACTTACACTTTTGTAGTTAAGCTATTGTCTGTGCTTCATACAGTTAGAAAAATTAGCAGAGGTATTTGTGGTTGAATATGTTACTTCTGCAGACTTGCCAGTCAAGCCCTATTATACTTTCCTGGGTTGTTCGGGTATTTTTTTGGTTTTGTTTGTTTGCTTGTTTGATTTTTTTGTTGGTTTTTTTTTTTTTAACCTCTCTTGCTATCAAATTTATGTAGTTGTTTATTATCTGCTATTGCTGGAGTTCCCACTTGCAATCACAGCGGCAGCAGGCTATAAAAATAATTGTGTGCGCTGCCTTGCATATGTCCTGATGGGGTTCAGCTCCCAGCAGGGTAAAACCATTGATCAGGAAGTACGAAAGGGTGTGGAACCCACCAAACCCTTACTTTTACACCACGCTTCTGCAAGATTTGTTTAAAGATCTTGCTGCAGCCTTCTTCCTTTGGTGACCCCCCTGGACTTGGCAGGTAAATCACACTTCAAACGTGCAAGCAAACAGGCGGAACTGCATGTCTAATAAATTAACGGAAAACTCCTTTTATTTTAAATGTCATAAAAGCCATAATTAAAAATATGACAAACTTAAATGAACATACATCGCTATGGCGTACAGTGCATTCTGAAGTGTAACATGATGGTAGCTGCCTTCATGGGTATAAAAATAAGCCTCTGGTGTATCAAAGTATATGTCATCACTTCAGCTGCCCTGAAGTGAGAATGTATAAAGCAAATGTTAACCTAGGAATTCTACTTGTCTTTGGTATTATCAAACAATTTAAATGTCCTTTTTGACTAAGCAATGAAAATCTCTACTATATGTACACACACACTTAATTCTAAATAGCTGGCTGTTCAAACACCACATAGTGTCCGGTCAAGTACATAATTACTGTACAAAATAGTTACATGAAACTCCCATCAGGAAACTCCAACGCATGGGACAGATGGGATAGAAGCTGTTGATACCACTCTTCCATGTACTACTGCTCACTGGGTCTTTGAGAACTGATGGATTGGGTTAACCATGGACTGACCTGTTTCTTCCTAACAAAACAAACCAGGGGATGTGTGTGTCTGGGGGGCGTGAATCACCCTGAGCTATAAACAGCAGCATTATGGGGTCTTGTATGGAGCTTTAAGGTAGGATTTAAAAAAAAAAAATACACAGAAAAGGCTTTGCAGTGCTTAAGTAAGGAGAACGTCTAAACTTCTGAAGAGGCTATCTCCAGTTATCCCTCTGCACCACTGATAGAGAATTAAAAATCATTTCTTTGTAGTAGTCTTCCCTTAGCAAATCAAAGAAAGTGTAAATCCTGTTAAAGCCCCTTACGGCAACTGGCTTTCATTTTGTCAGTTATCCCTCTCATGCTCTAGTTCAAAACTGTACAGTGTGTGAGAAACAACTTAGGAGTGCAGGATGCTTGGTGGTATATTTTATGAGGCTTTGTATTTTAATGTTTAAAAGCTCGAATTGCATGTTTACAGGCAGAGAAGACTTAAGGGTCATGAGGTGCATGACTGTCTCACTAGAAGTAAAGTAACATGACTGCTGTACCTTCGTTAGTCTGAGCTGTTGTGCAGCTATTTAAATTTTTGCACAGACAGGCCTTCTAAAAGTCTTGCTGCATAACACTTCCATGCTTACATCAGCATCTAATATTCTCTGTCATATGGATCAAAAATGCTAAATGCTGGTAGGGGAAACAAAAAACTTAACCTACATATTGGTCTGAGGCTGTGTTATAATCTAAGGATCATTTCACTCTCCAATAATTTTTCCAGATTTATTTGTGGAAAAAAATATAGAAGTATGTATTTGACAGAAAAAATCAAAGCAAATCTTAAGTGCTTACATGAACAATTTTTTTTCTAAGAAAAAAGGGCAAGAAGATTTTGTTGTAAAATTACTTTGCCACAACCAGAATCTGCAGACTTATTTTTAAGAATATTTTGTATTTCCTTTTAAATACTCCACCTGAGTGTTCTGTCCTATATGTGAAGGGAAATGTACAGTGATGGTATTCTAGTAGCCTGTGGAGGTGCAATGTTTGAATAGGACTTGCCCTATGAAGGACACTGATACTAAGCTTAAATCCTGTGCAGTTATGGGGATGACCCCAATCCATTGACAATATTGTATGTGTAAGAAGTGTTAGTGTATCCTGGTGGAGAGGGGATCCTTTGTCCTTAATGCCTTTGTCTGACATTAAGTGAGCACAGTCCTTGCTTTTTGTTCAGTACAGTATGGAAGTTGAGCTTTATGCTTGTTTCATCCAGCATAAGCTTTTGGCACTAGCTTGTGCTTGGGCTGGGTGGGAATAGTAGGCAGAAGGAAAAATCCCTTCCTGCAGAGTAGAAACCAACTACAGAAGAACAACAACACATTTTACTGTAGGCAAGTCTACCAGCTTGATCTCAAACAGCTGAGGATGTGCAAGAACTTAGTACTGAAAGCTGGAAGTTCTAGCATCTGCCTTTGGTACTGTCAAAAATATACTCAGTTGAGACTTCCTAACTGCCTCTAACTTCATAGGTAATAAAATACATGCAAAACTCCACTGCCACTCTGGTTTAGCCTGAGCTAAAAACATAACACAAATTTGTAGGCAAAATGTGAGTTGAATGAAATTTTGATTTTGTAGGGATGAAGCAGTCCTCAGCGCATATTCCTAAAAGCCAAGGATAACCACAAAGAACCTAGTTTGGTTTTTTGCTCAGCTTATGCCCATGCTGTTCCCTGTGTTGATTTGTTGCAATAATCACCAGAAACTTCCCTGCAAAAGAAGGTAAGTCGCACTGTGACAAACTTGTCACAAATTTCCTAGCCCAGATGGTCTTTGAGAGAACTGCAGTCAGAAAGGCATGTGTTTTCAATGCCATTTTAAAGCTAGACATTTGTTAAGCAGCTGTCTGGTGAAGGAAATGAAGCAAAAGGGATCTTGTACTTTCTGGAGAGGCCTAATAGCAGACTTCTACAGGACCAATTTTAGCCCACAGATAATATTTCTGGTACTCCTGTAGCATGTGTGCTCAGTTTCCTAATGAGCAGATGGCACCTGTGCTCTAAAATAAAATTTAAACACTACCTTTTTGCTTGGAAAACTGCCAAACCAACCTAAATGGCAAAGAACTTCCTATGGCTGTTTTAAAAACATGCTCTCTCCCCCAGCTGTCAAATATAGTGGAATTTTAAGTCTGCCATTTGTAAAAAGACAAAAACCAATGCATTTTAGGATCAGTGAGGCAGTTACTATTTACGTGAAAAACAAAAACTTGATTATCTTTAATCCTCTTCAGATACAATGTATATAGATCTTCTGGAGGAAGAGCACAGTTAGTAGGCTTCTAAAAAATCTTATTCTGGACTGATCCCACTTCCACTATTTTCTTAAGAACTTTGACCGTCCTCCTATTGATGGCACTGGCCAAGCGCTCAATTCATTCACTGGTTTCAACTTAAAAGAAAAAGGTACCTTTTAAAAAATGTTTTGTACAATGGGACCAGCAAGTGCATTTCTTGCTGCTGTGGTTTATTAGGGGGAGTGGTTTAAATGATCCTTCCCCTACAAGCTGAATACTTACAAAAAATGTCAAGGATAAAACATTCCTTTGCTGGGATGCTGATGGTGGGTAGTTCCCTACCTCCTCGCACCAGCAAATGAGACTACCCCGGTAGATACAGAGAATCTCGCAGTGCAACTTTACATGAAAACCTTTCACACCTGCTAAATGAAGGGTGTGCTGCACTGTCTGGCTACTGCTGGCTAACCTCCTGATTTTACTGCTGATCTGGATCAAGCTAGGTCTTGCAGCTAGCAGGAAGAAAGCCATAGAGTACCTTGTGCTGTAGTATTATGTATTAAAGTAATACAGATACAAAATAACAGCTCTCAAAGTACATGTAACATGAGTGAAGCCATTGCTTTTCTTTTAGAAATACCCAAAGCAGGAATCTTCCTTTTCCTTTACTCCTATATACATTATTCTAGATAAGCTGAGCAAGTTAGTCTGGAATACTACATGCTCAGCAGCAGTAAATTTACATTTCGATGTGAGAACTAGTTCAATGCTGAAAACATTCAAGGTAGCAGCACAAATACGTAGTAAAAGCTATTTGGTCCTGAGACTGAATAAGCAGAATACACAAGAATATTTTTTCTTACATGTTTACTTTTAAGAATAAAATCTTAAACTCATATACCCTGTATTTTGGGAGAAGAGAATTTCAATGTTAGATTTTCTCTTAACTCACTACACTTTGATTTGAAACGTGGAAAAATTGCAGTAAATTGAGTTCTGCCAGTTCATTTGCATATAAGCATTTTAGCCCATTCATAAGCCTGTTGAACAGTGCTCACTCCAATACCATAGCAGCAAAAACCACAGCTAACTGTCTACCACAATTAACTGGCCAATTGGTGATGCCATGCTTTTGGCTATAACTTAGAATGTAATTTTCTTTTATGCATATGTGTAGTAAGAGTTATTCACCTGTTCTCAGACTGTAGGACAGATCGAAACCACCTCCTTAAACAGTATACCTGTTCTCAGACTGTAGGACAGATCGAAACCACCTCCTTAAACAGTAATGTGCAGACCTGTCTCCTCACTGCAGCTGTGATACCTTAAGAGGAGTAGCACTATTAAAATCTAAGAAAAAAGGACCCTCTTGTTGAGGCAGGAATGTGGTGGGGATAATGTTGTAAACTCCAGCAAATATGTTCTCCACTTCCAAGTAGCAAAATCCACACCTATGATAAAAGAAACTACCCGTTAGAACTAAGATCTGAAGAATGTTTCAAACCTGTAAGACTTCATTAAGTGAGTATTACCTGTAGTCACCACTGCTCTTTTTCTGAAAGCCATAGGAACCAGGATCTCCTACTGTTGACACCATGACAAGTTCAAAACCAACACTGTATTGCCTGCAAGTGATGTGACAGACTGTTACTTTAGTTATTTGGGTCATCAGGATTACCATGAAGAGGACTATTTATTAAAAACTACACACTATAACTGGAAGACATCTAAAAGTTTTGTCACATTTGTGATAGAAACGTTAAGTCAAACTTACCATGACGTGAATGTAGAATTTGGAGGAAGATGGGACACATTTCAGGTTCAGAACTAGACTATATGGAAAATGCCTACTAGACATCTGCCTCTGCATTTAAGCAGACTTCAAGTAGTTAAACTTGTGGTGACATACTCCAGTGCCACATGGCACAGATCCTGGGGTGTGATCTGATCGCTGTCAGAGGAATCAATGTCAGTGATCTCAGCACAATTTCTCATGTTGCACTAAAACTTGGGACAGTTTGTCTACTACCTGTTAACGCATGTGACAGGCACCACTGCCCCTGTCATTCAAACTACCCAAATATGATCTGCAAGTGCAGAAAAAATGCATACAAAAAACCGCTCAATTAGTGGAACAGTAGAGCTACACCTTTGCACTCATCTTCATTTCATGAGAGAAGGAGTTTCCTCAAAGAGTGGAGGATGAATAAAGAAGGGCTGCCATTTTGTGGGGCCCACTGTACAGCTTTGCAAAAGGTAAACACTTGACTGCATGTCAGGAGATGTTGCTCTTTAGAAGTGCTGTATACTGGTATTTTGACATAGATAATGAATTTTGCCAAAGGAATGTGACCTGCATAGGCCTACTCTATAGGGCACTGACAACCAATACTTCTCCTGGCCTGCTAGTTGCAGAGTAGATGCAATTTCAGAGCTAAAACTACTGCATAGGCCATTATTTGAGAGCCTGTAAGGGTTTCATATCCTACATATCAGCTCTACTACAAAAGAAAAGGAATTATGATTGTAATTAGTTTTAAGAGGAAGAAAAAGTCCTTTGTACCTTCTTCCCTTCTGTGCAAGGCCTAGCTCTGCTCAGACCCCAAAACTAAAGAGAAAGAAGGCTCCTGCTTTCCTTGTAGGTCAAGGATTTCCTCAGTAGCAAATGTGCAGGTTTAAATCACTACTGATGGTGAAGTTAGAAACATAAATAATACTAAATCTGAGTCACCTTCCATACCTGTCTTCTGCATTTTCAGGGAGCTTCCCACCCTCCCCATGGAGGATACTGACAAAGCATTCCCTTTAGCGTGTAATACTCTCGCTGTGTTGATGCACGCTTATTCTCTACAAACCTTGGTCCCCGTAGTTCAATTAGTAATGGCCCATTCCTGTCCAGCTGGAATTGATAAATGGGGTTATTTTTGTAGGTGTCTCTGAAATTTCCACATCCTCCAGCACTGTGACCTTTCCACTGTCCATTAACCTGAAAGAAGTCAAAAGTACAGAAAATACTTTATATCCTGAGGATTTGTATTGTTTATTTATACACACAAACAAGACCACAGGCTCCTCTCACTTTAGAGGTCGCTGACTTTAGTAATCTCTCCTTATTTTTAAAGTGCAAGTGAAATACTATGTTAAGTATTCAGAAAGTTTCACTGCAGTCCTCCACCCACCTCGATCAAAGCCTTAGATCATTTATAAGTGTACTGTATTTTTCAGCTTATATTAAATAAGTACCGAGTGACTGTTTCTGACTATGACAAATCGCATCTAACAAAGGATCTATATTCCCATCCATCCCATGACTACTGGACTATGCAGGTTATTTTTTTTGCTCAGACACTCCTCTGTTGTACTAAATGAGAAACAACAGTGGTACAGGAAGTACAACACTACTTGTGTTGGAACCTTTCCTTTTGAAATTGCTGCTTCCAGCACTTTCCATTCACCTCTATGCGCTCTGAGAACGAGCAAGATATCCATAAGGACAGATTCTGCAAGGACAAAGACATACAAGAGGAAAAATGCTGCTCAGACTTTGAGAAACAGGCCATCTGTTTGCAAGTTCCTCCTGCTAGTCATTAAACTGAAAGGTTAGACTTGTAAGACATGCCAGGCATTCACAGAAGTTTATAGCTGAGATCCATTTCTCCTGTTACTTCCCTCCCCTTTCTGTCAAATCAGCAAGGAGCAACATTTTTTCTTGTTATTTAATTTCTTTACTCAGTGTCCAAAAACCTCAAACATGGCAAGTTTGGATGCAAGGGGTATTTCTCCCCCCACCGTACTACTACCCAGGAATCTAAAACTGCTGTGTGCTGTGAGCTTTCCAGGCCTTTTCCACCTCCGCTGCACTTAGTTCCAGGAATCCCCTTAGGGCTTGGCGAGCTCCAGAGGTGACCGCTCAACTTCAGTATAAGACATCTAACAGAAATTGCTTTTACTGGTAAACTGTGATTTAGTTATCTGCTTGTTTTTAAATGTGATGACTGCTAAGCAAGAACAAAATAAGCACTAAGCACAGGCAACTAACTTTTTGTATTTAATCATAAAGACAGAGCTGGCCTTGGATAGATAGAACATGCCTTTTATTTGAATACTAGACAGACATCTTCAAATAATTAACAGGAGGTTTCCACATACTTAATTTTCTTTTGAAACATAATACAACATAAAACAGATGTCCTGCCTCAAACAGGCTGGTCACCTTCAACGAGTTTTTGACCTTTTAAAGCATTCCCCCAAACTAAGCCCAGTTTTTAAGAGCTAAAAAGGACAATGGTTTCTGGAAGAACTAAGCAAATCATCTCGCTGTTCCCTGGAATCTCTCTAGCCACTTACCGTTCTCCAGAACAGGCCAGCTTCAAGGGGTTGTTGCAGAAATAACAGCTGGTACAAAACACTGTCTGAACTCAGGAGCCTAGCTGCAAGCCAACATGTCTCCCTGACAACACAAAGTAATGTAATCCTTGGCTTCAGACAAGAGTGTCCTAGAAAATGGACTGTTCCACTGTGGCTCAAACTAGCCTTGTTTCTGTCTTCCTGAAGAGGTTACTGTTTTGGACAGAAGACTTCTGCCTATTGTAGGATTCCCCGGGGTATGCATGGTAGGTACAGAGATTAAAGTTAACAACTGCTGGCTTATTCTTTCTGAGGATAAAATTGCTAATTCATGAAAATACATGCAAGTTACATTATCCTGTGAGCTCTTGGCTATATTTATACTTCAGCTGAAGGTATAACTGCAGCTCATGTTGACAGCTGAAATATGAACAGCAGCTGGCCCCAAAACTGCCCGGGCTTCTGACTTAACTTCAGTCAAGTTTTTTGCTCTTGCCCCTGCTGCCATACCCTCAGCAAGCATTTCTACATGAAATGTACCATGGGTATAGTGCCTAGACCCTGTTCAGCAGTGTGAGTGCTTATCCCAATGGTTACAGAGCTTTGAGATGTCTTAGCAAAATTTAGGAACAGTAATGTATTGTGATATTGCCACCCTAAGTCCATTTGTCACGGTCTTGCTACTGGTGCCTTTGGTTGCCATTGATGATTTTGTCCCAACATGCCGAGAGTTTTTCCAAGAAAATCATGCAATTCTCTCAAGGGAAGATGAGCAACACTCTTGCAGGGTTTTTACTCTGCAGTAGTACTAGTACAATCTGATCTCTGCAGAGTAATTACGTATTAGGTAGGGTACAGGTTGTTATTCTAAAGGCCAGTCTATTCTACAAAGGCTTTACAGTATATCTGCAATGGTACAGCTGTAACAACACGCTCTGCAACAAAGGTGGAGCTTATATACCAAACGCCAGTGAAAGTTAAGCCACCATCCATACAGAGTGGTGTGAACAGAGTGAGCCAGCCCAAGGACTTCTATGTTGGTATGAATTATGCTAACAGTGCAGCTAATTGTTTGGCAAATTATATGTAACTTGAGTACAGGATTGGTCTTGTCCTAATGATGCTTAGATTAAGCTTCAGTTAAGAAGTTTAATTTGTTAGAAGGTGGCCTAAGCTGGCATTTTTGGGCAGTAGTATAAACATATATTTAAAAACCTTGTACATCTCAAATATGGAAAAGCCAAACCAGAATTATTATCCAGTGACCCATAAAAGAAAATATTTATTTACCCGTTTGGAAATGGTGTAAGGTGTTGGAATCTTGGAAAAGGTGAACTTGCACAAGGAATACACCTGTATTGTGAAAGAAGAAACTGGTCACACATTCAGCTTGCATTTTTCATATGAAATCATGACATGTTAAAAAAAGCAGAATTGCCTACACATCATTTTTAGATACTTGTTCACTACATGCCTATATTACTCATCAGATGACCCCATCTGAAACTCAAAATCCAGAATAGTGCTGGGACTAACAAGACTTAGCTCTACTTAATTTTTATTAAAAAAAATCAAAATGGCAGCAATCTGCATTTTACTTTTTGCAGTGACAAAAAGAGACATCTAGCATTGATCATCACATGACTCAGCAGTTAAAGAAAAACCCAAATACTGAGTCCAAGGACTCAGAGCAGTCAAAAAACTTTAAACCTTAACTGGGATCTAACATAGACTTATTTTGGATACAGAGAGCCAATGCGCTGCCTGTACACAGATGTTAATTTCTTATTCTAGGAAATAAAAGTGTTTTTCAGCTGATTTCATTACTAAAATGTCATTACTAAAAACACACACTATATTGTCTTAACTACAATGGAGAACATTATCAAGCACTTCACCCAGTGGTTCTGCTCCATCATTCATGGCCTCCCTCCCCAAAAATAACAATATTGATCCAGAAGTACACTTTTTTTTAATCAAACTTACAAATAAAGGACACTTTATAGTTTAATTGTTTACATTCATTATGAAGTCAACACTACATACCCTGATGGTGTAATGGATAGTGTTTTGTTTCTCGTACTGAGACACCACTAAGGTAAATGTATGGGGCCCTGGAGAAGTCAGCTTTATCTTGGTCAGATAATGAGGACTGTTGATCCGAATACCATCAATATATGGAGGAGGATCAGCTGAAAAAGAAAAGGATGAACACTTTTCCCCAATTAAAAAATCCCCCTGCTTGGTAAACTTCTTAGCCATTTTATATCAGTGAATTTTGCCAGGAAAGTCAGATTGTTGCTACTAAGGTTAGACTGTAAGCAGACTTGAGTGCTCTCAAAAGAATAGAGCCTCAAGATTTGCTCATAGAAGCGACAGATAATCTTAAGAGCAACTATCATTTGCAGCAGAGGTACATCACACATGACAGGACACAAATTCTGCACTTGCAAGTCATGGGATTTAAGCTGTGCTTTCAAGAACTGCTTATCCATCTCCCACCAATGTCACTACTCAAAGAAGACCTACTATTATGATGTTGAAATTTAAAGAGAAATAAGGAATGTTTGAGCACTCTTTAAAAAAAATCTCTGAGGAGGTTGTTCCTTCTCCATTGGCTGGACAGTTCCAGAATGCAAGCTGCCAAAATCTTTGGTCACTGGGTAAACAAGACTTTAAAACATGTTAATTTCTTTAACTAACTGACACACACTTTCTCCCTCTCTCTCTCCAAATCCTTGTGATCATTACACAGATGAAGTTGCATCCTAGTACCAATGCACATGTGGTACTTATTATAAGCATCTCAAATATTTGCTTTTACAATTAGACAATGTAATTTGTTATTTGGCCTCTAATTGGTTCTTTCCAGACTTCTTTTAATTTCAATGAAGCAGGAACAAGTCTAGCCAATTACTTCAATAGGCCCAGGATCAGGTCCTTTTATTTTCTTCCACGAAGCAACATGGGAGAGGGGAAAGGATTAATATAAAACAATGAGAAGCTTAGGAACGGGAAATCTCAGCCTCACTGCCAAAGGATTAACCTGCTTTGTTCTGATCTCATTTTAACAGATGGTAAAAATAATACTGCAGCTTGACCAATCTATTTCCATGGAAAAAGGTTTTAAATGAGTTTGAGCTCGTGAGAATAGAAGTTTATAAAAGAGTTTGGGTAGCGAGACAAAACATATGAATCATCCAGTTCTTGCTAGTGGTCTTGCTGGAAGACTGTCGATTTCAAGCACAACTGAACAATTCCCTCCACTATACAAATGTGTTTGGTTTTCAGTAAGACAGCATGTAAAATAAGCACTGCTACAAGTACTAGCAACACCAGGAGCATGTCTTGGGCTGTAAGGAGAAGCAGATGCTTTAACAAGATCAGCTCTTGCAAAAACAGGTGATGATTTGGTCAGGTCTCAACAGATGCTTTCTGCAGAAAGACAGCTTGGATTCTAGGGGAACTGGTCAGCAGAGTTCTCTGAACAAGACCAGAGATGAACAGTGCAACCCTTACCAGCCATTCCAACAGGAAAAACCCCACAAATTCCACTCTTTGGTGAAAAGAGCTTTAAAAGCTACTCTCTAATTAACTGTTCCTATTACCTGTTGCATGAGCAGCTACCTGAATGCAACCCTGGTTCTAAAGAGGTTCCCTATATGTAAAAGCAACAGGCCAAATCCTACCTGCCTTAGGATGCACTTTCACTGAATTATTCCAAGGAATATTTTTACAGAGATCTCTAACTTGATGTAAAGAATAAATAAAAATATGATATTATTAGCTCTACCATAAAGTTACAGTCTACCCTATCCATTCAACCTGGGCATTATCTTTACTTTGTGTCTCAACCCCAAGCAGCGCTACAGGCTTGGGGAGGAGTGGCTGGAAAGCTGCCCAGAGGAAAAGGACCTGGGGGTGCTGGTTGACAGCCGGCTGAACATGAGCCAGCAGTGTGCCCAGGTGGCCAAGAAGGCCAACGGCATCCTGGCCTGTATCAGAAATAGTGTGGCCAGCAGGAGTAGGGAAGTGATCGTGCCCCGTCCTCGGCACTGGTGAGGCCGCATAAAACTGTGTTCAGTTTTGGGCCCCTCACTACAGGAAGGCCATTGAGGTGCTGGAGCGTGTCCAGAGAAGGGCAACGAAGCTGGTGAAGGGTCTAGAGAACAAGTCTTATGAGGAGCAGCTGAGGGAACTGGGACTGTTTAGCCTGGAGAAGAGGAGGCTGAGGGGAGACCTCATCGCGCTCTACAACTACCTGAAAGGAGGTTGTAGCGAGGTGGGGGTTGGTCTCTTCTCCCAAGTAACTAGCGATAGGACGAGAGGAAATGGCCTCAAGTTGCACCAAGGGAGGTTTAGATTGGACATTAGGAAAAATTTCTTTACTGAACGAGTGGTCAGGCCTTGGAACAGGCTGCCCAGGGGAGTGGTTGAGTCACCATCCCTGGAAGTATTTAAAAGACGTGTAGATGAGGCACTTAGGGACATGGTTTAGTGGGCATGGTGGTGTTGGGTTGATGGTTGGACTCAATGATCTTAGAGGTCTTTTCCAACCTTAATGATTCTATGATTCTAACCTGTGTTTCAGATCTGCTATCTGTCTTGAAATAAAATATGCATGGCTTTTTTGCAGCTACAACAAAGCTCCAAAAGCCAAGCCCCTTCTTTCTCAAGGTGAGTAGAAACTGATCTATAATGACCAGTAATACTTTGATAAAATTTGAACATCTAAATATTTTTCTTAAATATTCCATACCTGATACTTTGAAATATGTTCAGCTGTATCTCATGAGCTTGCTTAGGTACTTTGCGTAAGCCAATTTCATAGAACAATTAACCTTGATTATTTTCAATTAGTGGAAGCCTTAAACCTTTAAATAATTTTACAAATCTAGGAAATAATTATGCTATCAGATAAACAGAAGCACATCTGTCCCCTCTAAGCATTAACTACTGCCACTGCAAAATCAACAGAACAATAAAGAAAACGCTGTGCCAAATTAAGTGTCAGCAAGACCTCTTAGCATGCTTCCAACATGTACAGCTTGGTTTATTCCTTCAGTGTAGACTGTTGAAGGTGGCCAAACACGGCTAAATGACTGTTTCAGAAGATTGACCTCTTAGAGTGAGGCATCTAGTTTTAAAGCAAAAAGTGCCTTTCCTCTCCACAAAATCCTTTGCAATTCTTCATTTATTTCTAACATTATCTTTTTGACAATTAAGGTACACTAACCTGGATAGTAAACTTTTTTGCCATCAGTCTTGTATACAACCATTGTAATGAATTCCCGATTGTGTGCAAAGTCATCCTATAAAAAACACAAATCAGGTAGAGTTGTACACTTCTGTGGAATGTAACTAATGCTTAAGCAGAATCAAGTAAGCATTCTATAATCCCCTTCGATCACCACATCACTGATATTTGTATTTACTAAGATACCTGATCCAATTCTTTAAAAAAATAAAAACCCTGAAATAAACAAACTGCCACTGATTTCACTTATAACAGTTCAGAGTTATTTCATTACCTTTATGGTGGAGAATATGATCACCTCACTCAAATTTTTACTCTGGGTCTATTTCGACATTCTTGTATACAATTATGTGTACCTGCTGAATTTAAAATTTATACATAGGTGTACACATAGGTGTACATACTTGAACGTGAAAATATAAGCAGTAGTATACTAATAACATAGAAAGCTATATAAAAAGATTTACAGAAGATATTATAGAACTTATAATATAGAAAACTAAGAAAAAGAACCCGGCACCTTATCCGTGATGTGCCTGCTGAGCAGAACCCAGACAGCAGCTCCACCTTGTGGACACTGGACCTCCAGCTTGTACTGAGGATTGTTAGCCAGGCTGTAGGCATCCTTCACCGGACCTTGCTTTGCATCCCAAGTACTAAAAGTAATACAGAGACAGTATTAGATGAGCAAGATACTAATTTGTGCTTTGAAACCTACTCCAAATCCTACATGTATACAAAGCTATCCATTATCAGTAACAAAGTTACTGATGGCTAATTTTCTGCAGGAATCTATGACAGTGGTTACATAATGCATCAGTGTCAAAAGCATTACCTTACAATTTTGTTTTATAAATGACTTTGCTACAATACAAGTGTGATAACAAAAAAATGCTAAATACAAACAGATTGGCTGTTTGGTATGGTGACTGCAACCACACAAAACACAGAAAAAGCTGAGGCATTCAGGGAGCCCAGGCTAGCCAATTATTATAATGATTGCACACACCACATTTATTATTAAGGGAAAAAAACCCTATGATTTTGTAGCTGTAAGATTACATATGTAAGCTATGGTGAGTTCCAAAAGCTTGCAAAATTTTTTCCTCCAGTCTTTTATTCAGAAAATGTTTGTTTTAAAATTTGATCTGTTTTATGTTTGGAAGAGTGCCTGCATGAAGTGTTAAAAAAAACCAAAAACTTTGAGATACCCTATTGCAAAATCTGCCTGCTGCCTCATGAACTGTCTAGGCAAGGAAAACCAGGTATGAAAAAACAAAAAGTGCTGATGACTGAATGCAAAGTGTGGCACGCTGGGAACAGAAATGGATACAACTACTCATAAGTCCCATTGACCTTCCCACAGTTAAAACTGAACAGCTGCATTATCAACTAAGCTTCACATTATCACCATCATTACTCCGTTTTTTATGGCAATTGCCTCTGTGCTAGGCATTTCCTACACAGAGGTACGACAATTAGTACTAATATAAGGAAAGACAGACTAGTAGATGAGCTTTGAAATTAGCATACACATTACCTCATCTTGCTATATCACCACAGCATATTTTAGAATTAATTTGAACACAAAGATGGAAGGAGCCTTTACAGATAAGCTCAGCAGTTGCACTATGGATGAAGGAGCTTGTGTAGAGCTAACATACGCAGAAACAGTGTGGAGGCAGTGGCAAAGTGCAGTGTAGGGGAGTGGAAAAATAGAGAAGCCCTTGCTTTCCAAAACTGAGACACAAACTTACCCTCAAACTGGGTGACAAAAAGACTGAATGTGATGGATACTAGGTAGGAGACATGTATCATGTTCAGAAAAAATCATAGAATCATAGAATCATTAAGGTTGGAAAAGACCTCTAAGATCATTGAGTCCAACCATCAACCCAACACCACCATGCCCACTAAACCATGTCCTTCAGCGCAACATCTACATGTCTTGTAAATACTTCCAGGGATGGTGACTCCACCACTTCCCTGGGCAGCCTGTTCCAAGGCCTAACCACTCTTTCAGTAAAGAAATTTTTCCTAATGTCCAATCTAAACCTCCATTGGTGCAACTTGAGGCCATTTCCTCTCATCCTAATCAGCAGGCAAGGAACATTACTTGTAACAACTACAACTGGTGAAAAACAAAATTGGTTAAACTACTCTGACATCAGTGAACACACCCTGTAAAGACAACACACACTGCACAAATGACTTGCAACTGGCCAGGAAAATGAATTCCAAATAAAAACTAGGACACTCAAGCACTGTCTGGTCACTGCTTAAAGACGGACTGCACAAAAATCTGATTTCTATTCTGATAGAGAGATGCGGGACTGAGGTCAGAATCTGGTTACACAACCTCAGGTCCACAGCAACACTCCAAAAAGGAGTTTCAATGATGTTACAGAAGTAGTCAAAAACAAAGCCTGGGCTGAGAATTTAAAAATGTAAAGTCAGGATCAAGAGAACATGGTTGGAGTTCAACCTCTTCAGCTGTAACTAGGAAGAATGGAAAGAAGCAAACACCACATCAGAACATCAGATATTGACACAAAAGTTTTATCTCTTGGACCAACCTGTGAATACACGTAGATTCTTTAAAAAGACTTGGATTCCAACTCAAATAAATAACATCATAGTACTGGCACAAGTCCTCCCAGGCAATCCAGAAAATGCCTAAAAAGGAAATGCTGTTACTGTTTCCTTACCAGACACCTTGATTTCACTTGTTTTTCAAAAGTCTCTTTCCAGGCAAATGATATAGCTTATATAAACCAACATTTCTGTAAAACTTAGTAGTAGCATCTGCATTGCCCAAATTTCTAAATTTAAACTTAACCCTCAAAACAAACAAGTTAAACCAAGAAAAACAAGTTAGTCTCTGCTTATCATCAAGGACTTCCTGAAGCTGTCAGAAGGCTTTTCATTCTTAAGCACTAAGCAGAAGGCATGAGAGAATCTGTTGTATTGAAAGAGACATCATTAGGCGATTCTAACCTGCCTTCCCCTTTCCTACATTTCTGGAAAAAAAATGGAACACAACACAACACTAAAAAAAACATAGTCAAACAGGTTCCCCCAATTCAACCTACTTCAGTAGCCATCCAGCACAATCAAGTATTCAATCAACATGTGAGTACATTTGAATGTATTTCTAAGATATTTCATCCAACACCTATGTGACTTGCTTTGGCACCCTGAATCTGCTTCATCTTTACAACATTCTCATGCATTTATTCTAATTCTCCATAGCTCCCTTAATTGCAACTCCAGCCAACAAGAATGCCTGCAAGCTGACAAATTCCTGATGAACTCTCAAAAAGCTAACAGCCATATAATTCAAGTCTCTGACATAAGCAGTTGCAGATCTTGCAGCACTAAAAAAAAATATGCAATCATAATAGCTACACTTAGACAAGACCAGAGTGTAAATCCAGTCAGAAGAAACAACTCCCTTAAAATTACTAATGTAATTTTATATAAATTTTAACTACTAGATGTTACAGCTATAAATTCCTTACTAAATGAATCGGTAAATAATAATGAGCTAATCTCTCATAACTGCCACAAAGCCAGGGCTGCTATTCTTATATTTAAATCAAAAGTTTTCCGTATGCATTTGCACACGGCTTATCAATAAATGCTGTAATTTAATAGGTTTGGATGCATACTGTTGTCGAAATAGAGTGGCACTGAACAAAAGGGCTCCCCCTCACAGCGATACACAGACAGCAAACTAGGATACTATAAAAAGAGCAGACATCTCTGAATGTAAAACACAGCTTCTGCAGGATTTCTGAACTGTCAGCAACCTGCCCTTCCAGAAGCAAACCCACAGTGACTTTCCAGGTGCTCCACTCTGTTGCTCCCTAGGAAAGATGGGACAGGACAACACTGGGCATCATTCCAGATGGTTTCTCTGGACAGTGACATAGTAGCACCACTGTCTCAAACACGGATCTCAATCTACTCTTACAGCCGGAAATAGAGTGTATGTAAAGATTTATTTACAGATATATTAATGTAATGCAAGGGAAAAAAAACCCACTTACCTCCAGTGCATGACCTCAAATACAGGCAAGACTTATTTAAATACTGATTACAGTAAGCATGTTCATACATATTTGCAAATGTTGGAGGAAAAAAACACAAAAAGTCTATTCACGTATTAAAAAAAACAGTATTATACAGCTTGTTGTCATAATATTTATCTTTGCACTGAACTCCCCCACGCCCAGATACTGAGATAGCAACACTTAAGTAAGGAGGTAATTTCTTGTCAATGAATTTGAGATATATTAAACAGTCCAGATTACTTAAACCCCAGACAAACCTGAAATGACAGATTTAAATACACAAATACTTGCTAAACTTTTGGGCTATTTAGTTTCTAGTATTTGTTTTACTCTCCCTCTCCTTGTGCCTAAGCATTTCTTTCCACCTTCCTGCAGGGATACACAACAAAGATCTATATTATCTGAAAAGATAGTGACTTTTAAACATTATTACCATTGTCTATTTTCTGAGCTGTTCTTGGATCAAAGTTCAAGTGTTTTTGTAAATCTGGGGTCCAATTTCTTGTGTCATTTTCACTGTATCGTCCCTTCCAACGTAAGTGGCTCCAGGGATTTTTCAATTGAAGAAATCGAAGTCCCTAAAGAAATACAAAATAGAATTGCTGGATTCTTGTCAAGGTAATTTTTATATTTATATTAACATGGAATATGGACCAATAGCTCAAGAAAATACAGCATCATTAAGCTTTCTGGAATTTCCCAATGGAGCTCAAGACAAAATAAACTACATTAGGCATTAGAGCAAAAAATCACTAGCTACCCATTGCAGACAGGTTTCAAACAGGCACCTGAAAACATCTTCAGTTTTATTTGATACCTTATATTCTCTTATGTCCAAGACTGCATATGCATGGGTCGGAACTAAACCCCATTTTTCTCCTTCCTCTTCAGACATCACCCCTGTTGCTGTTGTGATAAGGACATCTCCCTTGTGAAATCTGTTCAAAGAGAGGTGAAAAAACAGCTTAATTAAAATCTTGCAAGTTGCAGACTAACTTTTGCTAGACACTGTAATACCATCTTTTTACACTGTCCATTAGCATGACCCTGCTTTATAAAAACTGGAATACAGGTTTTTTTGTCAGCAGAAATCACTCCTGAAAAAGCTTGAGAAAGTGGAACTATTTTCTTTCAGTATAGGCTTTAAGTGAAAAATTATTATTTTTATATAATTTCATAATTTCCTATTTTTTATAAATAAAAATCAGTATTTATCAACCTGAAGTTCAATCTGTGTCACTTTTTAAAGATACTCTTCACAGATCTTCAGCTGAACACAAATGTGGTTTCATCAACACTTAGCCAATCACTGCATATAGCAAATTAACAACTCTGTTGCACCCCCAGAATTCTGAAGGAGCTTCCCAAAACCTGAAGAATGAGAAGTTCATGCTTCTATACGTTTGCAGGTGTTTACACTGAAGTTTTGTGTCCCCCAGCATAGGCCTCACAGGGTCCGAATTGTCAACTCACAACAACTGAGTTCTGCAATTGTTCTGAATTGCAATTGTTAATTTCGCAACAATTATTGTTGTGAAAACACACTATTAATTTTCCCAGTCCGTAGACAGTTTACAGGGTCACTAGACTATGAATCGACACATTTTCAGTCTAGCACAGGTGAACAATAGCAACGCTATAATGGCTAGATCCCATCCTAACTGCAGTCACACCTCCAAATTGCAGCGCTGGAATATCTGAAAAGTTGTTGACAACCAACTGAGAGCTCCTAACCAACTGAAAAAGCACTGTAGAGAGTCACGCTCTCTTACCATGAATGCAGATGTTTCAGTCAGAATATCTCCCTTCTACTGCATTGAAATGCATAAGAAACTGGTTGCACAAAACTGTTTTGAAAGAAATTGAAGTACTTGCTAGCTGACATTTATAAATTACAGCTATATATTTCACCATTAGTAGAATTGTTACGGTAAGTCTGAAGATCAGTATTGCAGTTTTGATAGACTTTTGCTGCTCCTCCAGGAGATTTACTAATGGGGTATAATAACCAAGATCTTGTGATACAATTAGAAATACTGTATTATATCTGCTTGCTAAGGACAGCAGATTAATGCCAAAGTTCTGGGGAACTGTGTGGGAACACAGAACACATTTCCTGCTACTTTTTAAACACTTTTAACTTGTATATTGGTTCTAAGCTACTCTTCTCTGACTCTGTATTGTATTTTTTTCATCAAGAAATGGGCTACTTTTTTTTTTCTTCATATGTAAAGAAGAAAAATCACCTCAAATAAATTCCACAATATTTTACTCTTCTGTTCTATCAAAGCCATCAATACCTCAATTTTTCTTCTTCCAGAAAGCACATGGAGGTTTTATAAAGCACAATTTGTAGTAGTACTAAAATGCTATTGAAGGATCTGTGGTGACTGTAGCTACTACACAGCAAGCATTTTAATTACTTCATTTTAATTACTTAGGAAAGAACAAACTTCTACCTCTGATAAAGCATTCTGAAAGTATTATCTTTATTGAAAGCTTGATTGTCAGAGTGCATAGCAATTCTTTCAGGTATCCAACCAGTCAGTGCATGGAGATCAATGTTCTGAAATGCAAGCATTCAAAAGAAATCAGAATAGATATCCATCTATAAGCATATGATGTCTGTACACAAATTATAAAAGCGCCTTGAAAGAAATCAAGTATACACAAGTTACAATATAGCTCTACACACAAAAGGCTCAAGATTAAGACTATATTATAAAACCCAAACAAACAAAAACTTAAATGATTAGTTTAGGACAACACTTCCAAATAGCCTCTTAAAAAAAAAAAAAAGCTGGAAAGTGAACTGAAGAAACAAACTGGAATTTCAGAGCAATGGAAGCATAAGAGAATGATCAATCATGCTCAATTCTATGATGTGTTCTATTTATTTCATTGATTCACAGGCTTTTACAGCACAGTCTCAGAAGCGCTATTTGGAACCTTGCTATTATGTATGCATTTTAAATAATTTAAGTTTTACTTCTAAGGCTCAGGGTTTGGGTGTTTTATTCTTTTTGGTAAGGCTGACACTGACATGTATTTCCATAAAAAGACATTTTAATCTCCCCATTTCATCTCCTTGAAATATTGCTTATTCCCTTTTCTTTTGCTTTGTACTCCTCAAAGCAAAAGCAGAGACTGTAAGTGCTTGAAGTGTCAATAGCCAGCACTGGTGGATGGGAACTTGAGGAATTACCAGTACAACACAGCCACTAAGTAACCCTGATTATACAGGGAAGCTATAATACAGTGGAAAGCAGAGGTGGGGGGGAAGGATGGAGATTAAATGTCACAAGTCAAACTGTTTTTCCAGATAGCAAGTTAGACGACGCCAATGGGAATAAAACACAGCTATTCTCACCAGCTTCTGTCCTCCAAACAAAGCAGCCCAACACTGACATAAACATACATAAAAACGTATGCCACTTTTACCCCTTATACAAAACCACATTTGTCTCCATAATGATTTTTCAAAAGGTGATGGTTACCTAGTATACCCTCCAAGAACGCGATTATCAAGACACCAACTAGAATGTGAACAGCACCATGAAATCAAAAATATACTGTTAAAATTTTAAAGAATTTTAAATTAAAGTCAGAAATGCTTCCTAAGTAATGAATGAAGATTATGCGGGCTACTCATTTCAGTAAACCATTCCTCTTTAAGAGAATAATTTGCATGTCAGCCTAGCTGCATACGATGACTGTTTCTTTAGTAACCACATTATAGGAACCCATTACATATTTATGTGAATGAGTGGAACAATCTGATAAACAAACTTTCACAGATCGAAGTACTCGCTCCCTCTATAGACATGTACTAAATGACTAGCCTGTTCCTTTCCTAGCTGACTCCCCTACTTAATGAGGGAGAACTGTCCTATTTATTGAATGACAGTTAGAAACCAAAATCAGCAGTATTGATGTGGGCAAAAAATGTATTACTTTACCCAACACTTTCATCTAGACTTTATATGAACACATATACTTCCCAACCATAAGTGCCAATCCTGCAGTCAGAGAACTAAGATTAACTCTACCCATCAAGATGTCTTGCTCATTCTATTTTGATGGAATAAATCTCATCAAGTACAGCTAAGCATATTTGTGAAAGAAAGAAATAAAAAAAAAAGTTTAAGAAAACGTCAAACCCAATCCTTGCCTCCCCAAGCAATTAATTTATTTCGCTAGAAGGAAAGTTATTTGACCCAAGATTATTTAAGTGGAATTTTTCCCTCTTAGAAATAATTTAGTACTTACAGAATTTGATCCAGGAAAATCATATCCTCCCATGACCTTCATGTAAGCCTTTTCTATTAGCGATACCCATAATTCATTCTTATTGTTAGAATAAGAGCAGAGAAGTTCCCCACTATGATCAACAGGTAATTGGTCATCTATGATTACCTGTGTGAAATAAACAAATGAAAAATCATGATAAAGCTAATAAACTATTTTGGAAGTATTTAAAAAATAAAACCAAACTCTCATTCATGTACAGCTTCTCAGACAGCCAGATCTGACCGTCGCGCTCAGATGTGGACACCTCTATCAGTCCTGCAGTGGTTTTCCCAAGTGAACAAGAAATTTTCTTGCCAGCTCTTACTTGCATTGGTCCACTGGGTGACCTGTGATCGCCTGCCTCGCTTTCCCCTATGTAAAATGGGGATGATGACAGTACACTCTTGTAAAGTGTCTAACATCTATTGAAAAAGCTAGCCACAGAAAAGTTCAGTGTAATTACCAGCATTAGAAAAAGGAGAGAAAAGCCTAACGATATCCCTCACCTAATTATGAAACAGGGCATGGACTGTGCTTGCTAGCCAGCAGAAAGATGAACAGCTATTTATCTATAAGGAAATAAACTATGTGTCACATCACTTTCATAGTCTCTACTTCAGATTTAAATTTCCTCTCTCTGGAAAGGAAAAAAACAAATGCAAAAGCAGCAGTTGTGAAAGTATTAACAGTTCTTCAAATTAGGTAGAGTATACTCAGCATTATTAAAGATTGCTACTGCAGTATTTGCAGTGGTCTGAAACAGTTTCCCAGAACAGATGTTTCAGTTTCATGTTGACATTAGTCCGTTACCAATACAGGCTACCAACACAGCACATTTTCTGGTCAAATCCTGTCTGTGCAGGAATGAATAATCCTTTTCACAGAAGAGCAAATGGCCATTCATCCTAACAAAAGGCAGCCATTAGGAGATATTTTGGAAAGAGTATTAAGAGCAAGGCAAGCATATAAATGATGCTTCCCTGAAACACTCATTCAGATTCCGGAATTCTGCAACTCAAGGATTTCCTGACCCAGAGATTATATCTTAGCGATTAATAGCCTTTGAGGACTTTCCCCTTACTCCCCCGCCCCGTGAATATGACCACTCAACTTTTGAACTCCCATAAACATTCATCAGTCACTATGAACTGCAATAATCAGTGCTACAGTTAAGTATTATATGAAGAAATACATTATTTTATGCCCTTATTTATTGCACTGAAAAGAAAATGAAGCTGTTTGTGAGTTTATGAAGTTCTAACATGTATCTTCAGGCATCTCCTCCCCTTACTAAAAATCTGTGGTCATTTGAGTTATGCCTCTATGGTCATTCCATGTCTATACTCTTCCTGGACATCCCTCTCTGTACCTTTTAGTTCTGTAACTTCCTTCCTGGGATGGAGTAGAAAAGTAGATTACTTGCAACCCCGTTCATAAATATGGGATGCATAATTTTGTTCCTGTATGGTTTTCATAATTCTTTTAAGCAATATAAAGATTCTTTTAATGCATTTAATGTGAGTAGGACTATTCTCATGAATGTCTGTAGAAGAAATACCTACAGTCTTTTACATACTTCACAACTAAAATGAATCTGAAATGGTTTAATAATTAAAAACCACTTTCCAACAAAACATATCTAAAGTTTTTGCTATGCAAGCATAGCTTCACAGTGAAGCAGACCAAGCCTTTAAAATATATGACTTAAACCGTAACAGCATTAAGTCTCCCGAAAACCATTTACCTTTCTAGGTACACCATTGATATGAAGCTTCACCATGTATTTGCCACACGGATTATATTCTGGTTCTCCTTTCTTATTCTGAGGGTAAATTATACTGTAAAAAAAAAAAAAAAACCCAAACAAAAGAGACCGGAGGAAATTGTGACACAAATGACTTGGCTGTACATACACTGATAACAAGAAAAGTGAGATTAACACAGTCTGTTTCTGGAATTTACACTGAACATAAATATGGAATTTTTAATTAAAAAGCAACTCAAGTTTAGTAAAAATGACAGTGATGTTTAAATAGGTTTTATTTTTTCAGGCCTGGTTCTTGCTGCAGTTCTCTCCTTAATAAAGTAACAAAAAGAACATAAGTCACCTAATTGTTTCTCCAACAGAAGCAAGGCAAACAAATTTATCTTACTACTAAACAAATGGTATTTACCTATCTGCAAAATAAATACAGTATTTGCCTGAATAACAAGTCAAACATTTGAAGAAGGAGAAGACAGTGCAGAAGTCGCTGCTCTTGAAAAGAATACAAGTTGAGTTCTAACGAGCATAGGCTAAAACAAAAAAATCCAAGAACAATGTTCACACACTGGTCTGGCAACAGGTTCCCCACAGAATCTGCCAAACCCACACCAAATTTATCACAGGGCGCCAGTTGAGTGGAACTGAGATAGTGTTGTTAACATTAATTCTGCAATGAGATGCAAGATGGACCACCTGTTGCACAGCAGTTGGCATAGCAAAGTAGGAAAATAAACCTATAAAGCATTGTAAGTAAAATTTCTATGAAAACCCAAACAAAACCTTCTAAACTATTTATTCCTCCTCAAAGCACATCTCAAGGTAGACTCCAGTGTCTGTATACATATGTATATAAAGCTGGCTTCCCTCTCAGAAGTGCTAAAGCCACATGAGCCCCAGGGAGATGAAGGTGAAACAAGTGCTAGTTATTACTATGTCCAACTGTTATAGAACCTCTTGCAAAAACTTGGCAGTATTAAGTCTGAAAAGATCTTAGAAAGCAACAGCTACTTACCTTGTGATCAATTTTTTGTTATATCTTCTTTCATATGCTGCACTAATAGCTAGTGATGCCACGAAAGAACAATCTGATACTATTGTCTATAAAGAAGAGAAAAACAGTGGGGACATTTACTAATAACTTAGATACTGAAAGACAAACGGGGTGTGTGGAGGGAAGGAAAGTCATCAGTTAGTAATTCCCTTCAAAACGGAAAGGATTTCAACCAAGAGAAGCAAAGTTACTACTAAAAAGGCAGGAAATGTATGCTTGCTTAATATGAGGCCCCTACAGAGCAAACCAGAGTTAGAATTACTAATGACAGAGGCAAGTGCAGATACCTCAGCATTTACTCACACTTACTCCCTCCTCCCCAAAACACGCTGTGTAATATAAACCATATCCAATGGCATAATCTATTGCTGATTTCAGAATTGGTTGGGCCATCTGCAACTTAAAACTAAACAAGGCATTTCCACTATTCTCAATGGGCCACCCTGCTTCCTTCAAATAAAAATTTTAAAATTTTGCCCATTATTTTTTCCACGCAGTAAATTAAGTGAACAAGTTGCTGCAGAGTACACCTGGCCTTTTTTCATACTAACCTTACTACCATTTCTGGAAAACAGGATTTTCAGCTGGAATTCAAATTCTGATCTTCATTTCCACTGCTAACGCACCTGTTTATTCTGCGCAGAATCTGAAGTGACACTATTTATTTATTTATTTAATCTCATGAGAGCCAAGGAAAGCACTCTCACATGTGTGGATTCCTTTTTGAACAAGAAGGTCTTACATCCCCTGCAATAAACTGCTAGCAGCACACATTTCTCTTTAGGAAAAATTTACCTGCTTTATGCTGAAACTTGACACAGTATAAATCATCGTAGGGTTATTTGTTATGTCATCTGGTCGCACCCACTTGGCAAACATTGCTTTCTGCTTGGGGGATAATGGTAACTTCCCACATTTATCACTAGATTTAAGAGAGAAAAAAGTAGAAATAAATCAATAGCAGTTTAGAAAAGCTTTTCATGGTATGCCCAGTCCTATATATGTCTGATAGATGGTGCAAAATACGCACAGAACAATAACACAGCTTTGTATACAGAGCTGTAAAACAATTTCAAAGAATACTATTGCTATGTTTGTGATTTTTAGGGGAAAAAAGCAAAAATATTGAAACCATGAAATAAAACCCTACTTCATACAGGACTGAACAGAAGAAGGGAATTCCAAAAAGCCATCTACACCAGCAGAAACTCAAATGCTTCACTTTATTTCAATATGATGAACTAATAATAAAAAGTTTCTTTAGTTCTGAAAATATTGAGGCTTGTCTGATTGACAAGCCTTTAGCGGAAAATTGAAAAGAATAGTTTTTAAAAACTAACAAGACACAGTGCTTCTGAAAACAAGACAACTACCTCTTGAAAATGAAACAACCACTGTATTTATTTTGGTTTGAAATGTGCAGTACTTGATGGCTCAGTCATTAACCCTGCAAGTACATACCTGCGGACAAGTCACCATGCCAGGACAAAAATGATTATCCGCCACAAACCAAACCAAAATAAACCAACCCCAGGTGTCTCTGTCTATTATGGCTATATTATCTGAACATATTACTATTGTTCATGAATGAAGGTCTAGCAGTTACATATCACTCTTCCTCGGAATAGTCCTTTACAGAGGAAATGGCTATCACCTTCATTTTACAGGTAACTGAGGCAGAGGGAGCGAAACTCATTAGCATGCAGCAGAATCAGGAAACGGACCCAAGTTGCCAGCCCAGCCCAATACTCCAAAAAGCCAAATATAGTGTTGTCCTTACAGGCCTGAAGACATAAATGCAAAAGCACTGCAGAGCAGGATCAGCTTACATTAAACGGCTTTAAGATCAGACTGGAAAAAGGAAGTGGTAGTATTTAAATATCTCTGCCTGAATTATGCTTAAAAGCCTACTTAAATAATTTTAAACTCTGAAAAAGAAAACATAGAAATACCAAATGTGGGAAAGCTTTGGAAATAAAAACAAAAGTCAAGTTCAGTAATTGAATCACACTTACGAAAATGGCATAGGGAAGGCAAAACGCTCCCTCAGATCAACAGTCATGAAAGGTACATATTCAATGCCATTAATTTTTGAAGTCTTCCTGCAAGTCATAAGAAAAAAAAATAAAGTTACAAACCTATCATCTTTCAAAGACTAAATTCCAGAAGGTAAGAACAAAAATAGTTTTTAAAAACTAACAAGACACAGTGCTTCTGAAAACAAGACAACTACCTCTTGAAAATGAAACAACCACTGTATTTATTTTGGTTTGAAATGTGCAGTACTTGATGGCTCAGTCATTAACCCTGCAAGTACATACCTGCGGACAAGTCACCATGCCAGGATAGAAATGATTATCCGCCACAAACCTCCTCATAGTTCTAGAAGTCACATTTAAAACTACATCTGTCTAAACAGAATTTCTCAAGTCCCTTAAGCCTCTCATTAAAGAGAGTCTCAGGATATGTTGACAACAATTAACAATTAGCAACACTTAGATTTCATCTAATCGGGGCAGTATATTGAAACACTTTGTCAAACAACAATAACAAAAATACTGCACGTTTATCAATACATTTTTGACTAAAGCGCACAGAACACTTTCTAAAAAATGAGAATCATATTTAAATGTGAATGTAATTTAAGTTTCAAACAAAGGTATGTGAAATATTTTTAAATCAAATTATGATTAAAGATGTGAAACAACTTGAAGCTCTCTTGCAAGACTTAAACAAAAAACCAAAAAACCCAAAACCCAACACAAAAGGGAAAAAAAAAGAAAAAAAGAAAAAAAAAAAGAAAGAAAACCAACACCCAAACCATCCACAAAACCAGAAACATTCACTGCACAGGCACTACAAGAGGAAAAAAAAGTGAGATTTTAATAAGGCAATTCTTAACGCTCTGCAACTTTTCAAACAGGCATACATTTCTATCTTCATGACCATATCCCCAGTCTGTTTAAGCCCCCTAAAGTCAACAAGCAGACTAAACGTTTTATGATCAAATCCTGGACAGTGTTGAGCATCACCTCTGTCACAATCTTTTTTTATTGCATGGGGAGGAGGAGGAAGGTCAAAATATCAGACAAAGCATTTTTTTTTTTTTTAAGATATATTTGATAGTTTTAAAAATTCATGATTTAGGCTAAATGTTTTATGGATTATTTGTAGCTTATTCCACCTATAATAAAAATCAAAACAAAAGGAACTGGATGTAACACAAGTCACAGTCCTACAAAATATTATGCTTCGTCAATTTCCAGTGAAGTAGTAGTTGTATAATCTATAAAAACATCTTTGTATCTTGGCATCTCAGAGAGAGATGTTTCATGAACTCAGGCAGGTAAGTTATGTGTAACATACAAAAATAAGGCTATGAAAAATAATCCTGGCAGTCAGTTACAAGAAATTGTCTTCTAAACACACTCTAGAAAGTATGCTCTGTGAATAAAAGCCACTAATTACATTACCTTAGAGAATACAAGAATTTATTAATGTATAGGTAATACTAGCAGCGGGGTTTGTAAGAGGTGGTTTTCCAACCTCTGTTTATAGACCTCATGCTTCAGCTATTTCAATCTACTGTGCAAGATGCAAAAGGATGTGAGCACAAATGATAACATTTTGGAAAAACTTGTCTTCAACTTACCTGAGTACTTCAATCTCCTCTACAGTGTATCTCTGACCTTGAGATTCACTAGCTTGTACTGCTCTGATTGTCTGTGGTTTATCATTTAAAGAAAAATCAGGTCCTAATGGAAAGAATGTTCTGACTGGCTGATTTGGTTTAGCTGCAGTTGACTTCTCCTTCTGAGATGACTTTGACACAGATTCCTTCAGTGCTTCTGCTCTAAAGCAAATAAAAATGCATTTTGTTTACAGCAATGATAAAAATATAGTTATGGTTCAATTATTTATTTGCTTGGTTCATGTTCCCACATATGTTAAACGGAATGAGCAAATGCCCAAGTTGTCCAATACCACTTCCTAAGAAAAATCAATTTCTGATGCCAGTACTTCTTTATTTTCCTGTTCTAGAATCAATTAAAATATAGCATTTCCAATTCATATATAAGCTACTTTTGGCAGAACTCATTAGACTTTTGTTGCCTTTAAATTATGCTAATAGGAGAATTTGTGTAACTGTTCATTATCTGGAACCTCAGGACAAGACCACTGAAACACAGAGAGAGAAAACTGATGTGCAACCTCTCATACCTTCAGGATTTAATTTGTCTAGCAGCTACAATAGCAGTAAAAACCCACTAGCATTCACACAACCCAGCATTCCAACTGCTTGAAGACTATGTATTCAGGAGCCATATTTTGTTGTTGCATTAAGCTGCTGGATAGTCACATATCTGCAAAATATGGGATTTATTTTAAACACAGGCTGAGAAGTGCTGAAAACCAGCTTATATTGAAACTTAGCCCAACATAGTCTGTTATTTACCATCATACAGCTGATTTAAAAAGAGTTACACTGAACTTACACTCACGTAACTTGTTTCAGATATAGACTCCACTCCACCAGATCTACCCATACAATTAGATTGCTACTGTCAAGGTAAGCATTTCCCAGTTTCCAAGCTGTCTTCCTTATGAAGGGATGCTGACACCCTGGCTTCATGCTGGCCCAAATTCAGGATTTTTACAGAAGCCAAAAACTGTAGTAGAGTACTCTGATTTATATCTCTGAAGACTGTAGTAGTGCATTGGTACTAACAAATACACAATCCTTTCCTAATTCTGCATGTTCCAAGATTCCCACAGGGTTGGCACAACAGCTGCTATGTTCAGTGGTATAGCAGCTGGCAGCTATCTCCAAGGGAACCCTACAGGAGCTAGGTCTACCCAGAATCCATGTTCTTTGCAGTACAGAACACACACGTTAGATTGAGAATCCAATTCAGAGAGTGCACTTAGACCTGACAGCAAGTATGTTTTCTAGCATTAGCAATACTCACCTATCCAGTGCTTGTCGAGCCAGCTGTTTCAGTTTTGCCTGGAGGCCTGCTTCTGAAGTTTCAGTAGCCTTAAGTGCAAAATAAAAGAAAAAGCCACACATCCAAACAAACTGCAGGTTTTGTAAGCTCAGTTTGTCAAATTCCACACACATAGATTACAGCAAACAGTAACTGGCTATTTTTTCCAATTCTCTTTTGAAATGAGCAAATATGTTTGGGTTTTTTTTTTTAAATCTCAGGGTAAAAAGCATACAAAGTAAGCAAGTATCATTTTGCTGTTCTAGTGAATGTTCATAGAACGGAAGTGATATTTAAAATTTTTCAGCATGGGAAACACTGTGTACACAAAAAATTTGCCGGAAGAATTAACCGTATTAAAACACTATGGGCAGAAAGAAGACAAAACCAAATGCTACGTATGCTACTGAGCTTAGATGTGTTCCAATTCTTTTCCCCAAATGAGTCAAAAATAATCATGGTAACTTAGAAAAAAAATTCTGAATCTTTACTTTCATAAAATACAAACAAACAAGATTGCTTGCAAGTTAAAAATCTTGTCTTGCACATCTAAGGCATAAAATAATCTATGATGGGGCACCAAAACAGGTATCAAGAGTGTTCCCAGGTATCAACTTCTGTTCCCAGTTGGGAGGTCAGCTATGACAGTTTACGCTTTTGTTTTCCTTACAGATGAAGCATGACTACTGCAGCTAAACAATCTGCAAGAGGTACAACATGAGGTGTGGCTTCTCCTGTGATACCCATAAGCAGGTTTCAGGTTCTAGCTTTGTACCTTGACCAATTCTCCCAGGTCACCTAGGTCAACTGAGGAAACCAAAGGCAAGCTACCTTCACCCCAAGAAACAAAACTAGAAACACCCTCTATAAGCAACTATTTTCATTTGCAAATAAATTACACTCCAGAGTGGAAAAAGCTTTGAAAGATGTATGAAGGTAAGCAGTGGAGATGGAACACCAGCACACTCATCTAGGAGTCAGCCACAGAAGAGGAGGAATGGCTGCTCTCTGGGTACTTCAAGGGTAAGGAAGAAGCAAATCTCTCCACCTGAATATACTAAGGAGAAAGACAGAAGTAAAGCTTCAAGATAGCAGAGTTCCTTCAGTCTTCTTTTATCCTGGGAAGAAGGTGGTACTTTTTGATCACCCCGAGGGACAAAGCCTATAGTCATCTCAACAAAATAATATGCTAGTCAAGATTAAAAGAAACTTCAGCAGTATCTGTACCTAATGAAACACCTGATAAAAGCAGTTGTTTACATGAGATAATTTCAGACTAATTTCAATATATGTAAGTATTATTTGTATGCACTGACACAACAGGAGGAGGAACACAGCAGAGGAAAAACAGTATGCTGCCATAGTAAGTTTTATGTAATAGACTGAAGATGTTCTGCTCCAACAGCTCAAGTGGAAAAACTAGAGCAGATCTACTAACTCTTCGTCTGGTTACACTGTATCGCCAGGGTTTTTTAGCCTACGTAAAACCAGTTTACAGAATTCAGAGAAAAGAAGATTTTACTCTAGCATGTAGCAAAAGTAACCCCCTCCCAACAACCCACATATATTTACATTATAAAAAGGAAAGAGAAGGGAAAAAGAAAAACAGACTTGGTGGAGTTACATTATGATGGTGAGCTCTTCCTGTAATGAGTTAGTTAACACAACTGGATTTAAGGGAAAAAAGCAGTACCTGTAATTATTCTCCATCATTCACGTAGTGGCCAATTCATTCTTACCATTAATTTCAGTGTGAATTGAGTTCACCCGTAATAGCTTTAAAGTTGAGCACTTGAGTAATCAAGTAGTATTTTTACTAGTTTTGGCATCAGTAGACCGTGGTGTTTTCAGAAAGTGCTACACACAAAAATTTTCCTTAAATTACTTCCCTTAATGTAGTCAGAAAGTAATATAGCTGACACATTAGCAAGTCATCTTCAGAATTAACTGTTTTTAATTTCTGTTTTAGTGCTGCATTCGCTGCAGAACAAAAATTAACATGAAAGTTCCAGAATATTTCTAGTTTTTAGTATAATCCAGTTCAGGAAAAACACATAAATCACAAGTCCCCATAAATTTACAGTGTTGAATAGCAACATAACGTAAAGACTGGAAGAAATACTAAAAAAAAAAGTGGGAAAAAGATTAAAAAATAGTTTTTAGAAATACAGGTACTCCATTTTTAAGCCAACCTTTAAGGGTCAGTCACTTGTGTAAGTGGAAGAATTTCTTACCATCACATAATTCCACCAAGTTAACCTGTAGCTTAACATACTGTTTTCAAACAGAGTTCCACTGCTTCTGTGTACAACTCTATAGCTTCTTCTGCATTGCCTTTATCATCTTCATCAAAAGCCTGTGTAACTAGGAAGTGAGCACGCTCCAAGTCCAACTGTTGTTTTGACTTCAGAGGATCTGTGTTCTGTGACTGAACTAAATGAAAAAGAAAGTATTTAGCTTTCTACAGCGGCAGACATGTAAAAACATCCTTAACATGGTACTGAAACACTAGCAGTTCTAATCAGATGGGTAATATCCATTTTTTGGCTGGAAGCCAAAACTTTCTAAACTTTGCTAAAAACATTTTTGCAAGGACAAGAAAACACCACCACCTCCCCTCCCGAAGCAGAGATTCACACTCAAGGATATTTCAAATGTCAAATAATGTAAATAAAAGCTCCTTCATACTACACTAAGGACAAGGATGTTTAATTATGTAAAATACTGCATCATTCATGAAAACATATCACCTATGGCAATATACAAGTTCCTTAGGTGTCTATCTCATTTAATACCTGAAGGAGAAGATGGAGTACACCTTCATCAAGGCTGCAGACCCCACCAAACCAATTCACTCAAGAACACAGTTGCTATTCAAAGGGACACAAACAAGCTAAAGTAAAGGGCTGACAGGAACCCCGGGAAATTGAACCGGGCTAAATGCTATGCCCTGTGTCTGGGAGAGACTAATATCCCTGCACAGTACAGGTCTGTGCAAAGGGGCCTGGGGTGCCGGGGGACAGCGGGGTAAGCCTGAGCCAGCAGGCCGCTGGCAGCGATGAAGGCTAACAGCACCCTGGGCTGTGTCAGCAGGAGCACAGGCAGGAGGTGGGGGAAAGCAATTACCACCCTCTACTCGGCACTCAGCAGACTGTATCTGGAATACCTTGTCCAATCTCAGGTCCCTAATGATGGTTGGGGCTGGAGGACTTGGCCTTTTGAGAAGAAGCTGAGGGAGCAGGGCTTGTCCAGCCAGGAGCAGAGATGGTTTTGGGGGGCCAAAGCCATCTCTAATAGCAACCTGCCAGTAACTGTGAGGTTATCAAGAAAATGGATTCAGGCTCTTCACTGTGGTGCAAAGAAAGGGAATGAGAGCCAGTGGCTATGAATTGACACAGGGAAGAACCCAATTAGATATATTAAAAAAAAAAAAAAATCACTAGAAAGACAATTGCACCCTGGAACAGTGGCCCAGAGGCACTAGGGAATTTCTGTCCTTAGGCGTTTTCAGGACCTAGCTGCACCTGAGCAACCTGGTTCAAAAATAAAATGTCTACCCTGCTTTGAGCAGGAGATTAGTTTATAGACCGCCCAAGGTCCTTTTTTGGCCAAGGGATTCTATGATTCTAACTGAGAATTGCAGGTGTGCAAAAATCTGAGATTTTGGTCTAAGCACAAACACCGAAACTGGATCAAACAGGGAAACCCTTATGAGAGCAAAAATCTCTTTTACCCTCTCAAAGTTAGTAATTCTACATAAATACCAGAACCTACTTGTTTCAAATCCATCATGCAGCTGAGGCTTAGATGTGCGTTTTGATTTGTTCCTGATGAATTTTTATTGCTATATTTAATTACTTTCTCAGGTTTTCTCTGCAGATGTGATTCCTAAGAATATTTAAAAGGAATGAATACCAACACCCAAGTCCTCACAAAGCAAGTCTCTGCTTCATTTCTGATGTATTTCAGAATTCAAACACTGATGTGCTCATTGTATTTGTAGTCCTTCACAAAGGACAAGAAAATTAGAATAATGAAGAACAGAGCAAACATCATTGATACATATTTCACACCACGCAAAGGCTTTCCACTCAATTAATTTAAGCAGAGGTTTAATTAGAAAGCTCCTTACCCACCTGCTGAATGGAGAGCTTGAACTCTCTCCAAGTACTCATTTATTTTTTCTTGAATATTTTCTAAGTTGGACCCTGCCATCCCAGCATAAATCAAGGCTTGTGCAGCTTCCTGCAGGAAAAGGAATTTGAGACAAAGTTAATGTTTGCTGCCTAGAAAATTACTTTCCATAAACAACGGGCCTACAGCAGCCATGAGTTGCATGAAAGCAAGCCCCTACATCTGCAAAAAGAGTCAGTGGCTGCAGGGAAATTCTGCTCGAAAGAGCAAGCTTCAAGTTATAAATGAGATCACGTTCAATTTCTCATACATGGAACAACCTAAAGGACTATAAAAAACCTTCTGAGGTTCTGTAACGCCAGATCTTAGGTCTCTCTGTAGAGTAATGCATGGAATTAGGAGACCAAGTAAGATTTTTCAAGCATGCACTGAAATCAATTAAGTAAAGCTCACAAGCCACAAACTGCCTTTTATTTCTAAAGCTGCGGATTTAAGGTTAGGGAGGAAAAAAAAAAGCTACACACTAGTTATTTGCATTTAATCTGGTAATAATGAAAGTAAACCAACATAAAAGCTTTTCAAAATCAAATGCACAGAACTTTGATTTAGAAAGTCTTTTCTTTTAGTATTACTCACATAAAGCTATCAAATCTGGAAAGTCTACAAATGTAAAGTTTCCTAGCTCCTCAAACTTTCTTTTTTAATTGTTTGTATGTACACAAAACACCGGATATTGATAAAAGTCTATTTCCAGGAGGGAGCGTAGGCCTCCGGCTCAGAAGCACAGTATGTTATTAAGGCTTTTTCTATACTGCACAAATCTATTAAGAAAAAACGCCTTCAGTTGCATAAGCTGTGTATCCATTCACTAAATTTATGAAAAACATGTAATGTTTGGCAGGGTTGTAATAGACAGTCAGAGCTCACAGAGCTTCAGAAGCATATGGAGAATTGAAATTTGGCACTCACAAAAATGAGGATAAAAACCTTATTTTGTCCTCATTATTGGCATAGAAAAAAAGCCACACTTTTGTGGAAATGCTCATCTTCCCAGCAGCAGTAGAAGAGAGAAGGAGGTAGTCATGTAGCAGGCTGAGTATGTAGGAAGCAGAAGAATAACTAGAGAGCTGGTCCACAAAGATGGTGCTCAGAGAGGCTACTCTGTATAGGGCAAGCACAGAGCCATGGCCAGAGGGTCTCTTGTGTGCTTTATGGCCATGATTTTTGTCAAGCTTAGCAGTTTGCTCCCATACACATCTTGCTCAAGCTTTAAACTCATCCTGATACAGCCTGTACTTGTTATCAGGATAAATTTTGATTGACAAGCTCACAGAGCCAAATACCGTATATTCCCTGTCAACATCCGTCACCATATTACATCACATAAAATGTCCACAGCAACAGAAAGGTAAATAGAAGTACTATGTCATTTATATGTAGCAATTAACTACCGTTAAGGTCTAGCATACAACTATTTTTTGGGAAAAAAAATGCACTACTGATATCTGCTCAAAGGATGTATATATTTGTCCGTGACATATCACAAGTACAGATTGACAGAACAGGTGCTGTATCATAACGGTAAGTTGTTCACATAAGAGGCAAAGAACAAATGTGGATTTTCAAACTAGTGCTGCAAAAACAATGCATAATTGATGTTGCTTCTGTGATTTCAAGCACAACTGTTCTGCCTGGTTTTAAGATGTAAACATAGTGAAAACAGTCTTTTATAAATTAAGGCTCTAAAGGACTGAAGCAGTTCACCAACTGCCTGCAGAGCCAGCACGCCAACTGTTTCCAGTGACAAGATGGTCACACAATTCAGAGTTGGTATTTAAGATCTCTTCAATGCCACTACTGTTCTTTGGCACGAGTAGTGTGCCACAGTCGCACTAAGCTAACTACTGATCATCAGTTTGCAAGTTGCTAACTGCTGGTCAACAGTAAAACTTAGCAACATTAGTAAGTTACCCTAAGCTGGTTCACATGCAGCCCTCTACTAGGGATCTATCGAAGTTACATGACAGCAGGAAGCGAACAGCACTTGCTAGCCATAGGAACTCCATTCGGACAAGTCCGTTTGTTGTCTATTGGTAACAAATAGTAGCATTTCCCATGCTTCATCCTTAAGGTCAAGTTCTTGCAGAATACAGTTCAGCACCCAACTTTTCCACATGCTTAGTAATTGCACCAGTGGGCTCTGAACTGCTTGGAGAAGTCGATAAGAAAATTGTGGTAGGCCAGAGCTTATTTGCACTGTGCAAAAAATGCATAAAGCACCCCCAAAATACTAGATGATATTTTGTAACTACTCTTGTTTAATCTAACATCGACAGTGATTCTTCAGGCAACACCCGGAAAGGCAAACCTGTCTAGGCTAAATCATACATAAAGAATTATGCTCTAACAATACCTGCCGAGTTTGCTCTCACTCCTTCTGATTGCCATAGGTTTGAACACCAACACCTTCACATATAATCTGACACAATAATCAATGCCTAATCTTGGACTGCCAAGAATCACCTGTCTGAATACCAAAAATCCTAGTTGCAGAGTTTTGATTCAAAGCTTTCTTCACACAAAGCAGTGTCCATAATCATGCTGCTCTGTGGCCTAGCTTTTGCAAACCACAAAACATGTTCTAGATTACACTCTTTGTCATGTGTAGCTTGAAGTGCACCAAGACTACTAGGGATGCATTTTTGCACTTAGCAAGAATATCACCCGTATGCAGCAAGTGAAAAATGTTTTCCGTACACTGTACAAAAGTGTACAAGGGTGATTATTTGCACAAAAAGATGGTTTTCTTCTGAAGAGCATTCGATAATTTCTTCCAGATTTACTGAGAAATGTACTATAATAAAGTAGTACTGCACACAGCTATCAGACCATGTGCACACATTGCTGCTGATAAGCACAGAGCTTATCAGCATTATTATGGGTAACTGTAACTTTTGCATATATATACTTTACGTGTATAAACTTAGTTCACCCTACATTAACAAAAAAAAAAAAAAGATGCTCCTCTTCCTATCCTTTCACACTTACATGCATAGGTCACTATGATAACAACGCTATGCTTTTTATACATTTCAAAGCCACGTAGTACTCATGATGTAAAAGGCCAACTACAGAGCTGTTGGCAAGTTATGGAAGAGAATTACTTTGGCAGGATAACAGGATATGTGGAATGATTACTGCAACAAGGATAAACACAAGTTTCAAAGAAATCCCTTCTCACAGGTGAGAAATAAAGCCAATGGGATATGGAAGTTCAATGTAACTTTGCAAAACATAAATCCAACAAAACGAGACAACTTACACAGGTAGAAAAATGCATAATGATTGCACAGAAGCTACTAATACCAGTAGTAAGTCTATAGATATTGAGCAAGACACTGAATCAACCTCATCACACCCTTGGTTACACCAACCTGAAGTTGTACTGAAATAATAAAATCAGATCCCTAATAGAAAGAATATTCGCATGTGGTTAAAAACATGTCACTCGTAGCTTGTGATCTGAAACTGGCTTACTGCTGAACATCTTGTATTTCACCAGGTACTTCTCTACTGATTATACAACAAAGTTGTTTCCAGTTGCACACTCAAGAGCTGCAATATGCCCACTTGCAGTGCTCCAAAATGCTCCAACATCTCCAACATAAAATTGAACAGTCTTTCAGGCCTGGCGAGGGTAGGGGAGACGCCAGGAATGAAAGTGGAGAACCAGCGGGGCAGAGAGGTTTTTAGCTAGGTTCCAAGAAAGCTTCCCGAGAAGCACCGAAGGGGTTGTGTCTCCAGCAGCTGGAAGAAGCGCCCGTACCCACTTTCCAGGTACCGTAGCTGAAAAAAAACTTTCCGGGTACCGTAGCTGCAGGGCTGCCCCTAAGTCCGCCAGTAAACAGCAGCGCACGGGCAGTACTTGTTCCCACCTGAAAACAAAACGCAGCGAAAACGCATTTCGCAACCTGCCCTGAAGGACGCTGCTACTCCGCAGACAAACTTTCGACGCACACACTCGGCCTTCCGCTTTCTTCTCGGCTGGTATCGCCACGTCTCCCCCGAGGCCAAGCAGCTCTACCGCCTCCAGGGCATACCCCCCGAGGGAGGGGAGCGGCGGAGGCAGCGCTAACCCAGCGCACCTCTCCCCG